TGGAAAATTTTCCAAGGTTTTGACCTTTATCTCTGCACCACTTAAGCTTTTGTAATTCATTGTCCTGCAGCTTGTCAGCAGTTATCTTCTGGTTTTCCCCTTGCTTCTGGGTAATCCTGAAGTGTTCAGGATGCAGCCACAGAATTATATTTAAACCTGAATGTGCTGCTCAGGGGGGGAGGGAGAGGAGATTGAGGAGACATTTGTGGTGCTGGTCAAATGGAACATTCCTGGGAGAAGAAACTATGCTCGAAAATGGGTATTTATTACCCGAGACAACTGAGTGAGAAGTTCTTCTGTAATGAGATCACCCGTGGTGGATAGTGTGTGGATTGTGCCACACTCATTGATGTGATCTGAACCTTCCTCTTAATGTATAAATAAATGGTCTGCACTTAATTTGGCTCTTCCACATGAAAAGCCGTTCATATTGAAAGCCCAAACATCCGTTCGGAGTTTCACGTGAGCCTCGTCCTTGGAAAATCATTTTTCAGGAGGGAAATGGGAACTGCCTCTCCTGAGCTGTAGCCTCCAAGCTGGGCTGGAAGTGCAGAGGGTTCCCATTTCCCTCCTGGGGTTTCTCTGCAGCCCCAGTGGGAAGAAGTTCCGGAGCAAGCCGCAGCTGGCGCGGTACCTGGGCAGCTCCATGGACCTGGGCACCTTCGACTTCCGCACGGGGAAGATGCTGATGAACAAGATGAACAAGAACAGGCAGAGGATGCGCTATGACTGCTCCAACCAAGCCAAAGTAAGAGCTGATGCTGCTGTGGCACTTCCCCTCCCTGCCTGTTGCTGCGCTGCCAGAGCAGTGGCTGGGATATTTCGGGGTCTGGGGTAGAGTGAAAGTGAAGCGTTTTGTGGTGTGGGTGTGAAGTTGGAGCTGTGTGAGAACGTCTCTGTTAGGGTGGGTGGGACAAAAGCAGTTCCCTGCTGCTCCCAGGGGGGTGGTGCCAGGGAGAGTGTTGTGGTGCTGCTCAGTATTTGTGCAGAAGAGCACATCTGTCATCTTCCCAATGTCAAAGAAGACATCGACCTGTTGGAACAAGCCCAGAGGAGGCCACGGAGATGCTGCCAGGGCTGGAGCCCCTCTGCTCTGGAGCCAGGCTGGGAGAGCTGGGGGGGTTCACCTGGAGAAGAGAAGGCTCCAGGGAGACCTGAGAGCCCCTTGCAGGGCCTAAAGGGGCTCCAGGAGAGCTGGAGAGGGACTGGGGACAAGGGATGGAGGGACAGGACAAGGGGGAATGTCTTTAAGCTGAAGGAGGGCAGATTTAGGTGGGATACTGGGAAGGAATTGTTGGCTGGGAGCGTGGAGAGGCCCTGGCACAGGTTACCCAGAGCAGCTGTGGCTGCCCCTGGATCCCTGGGAGTGTCCAAGGCCAGGTTGGATGGGCTTGGAGCAACCTGGGCTGGTGGAAGGTGTCCCTGCCCGTGGCAGGGGGTGGGACTGGATGAGCTTTAAGGTCCCTTCCAACCCAAACCATTCCATGATTCTGTGTGCCCACACCCTGGAGTGTGGGCTCACCTTCTCCAGCACAGTCTCCTGCAGAGCCCCAGATCTCCAGCTGTGCAGCTTTGGCCTTGGGAGGAGAGGAGGGCCCTGTACCCAAAGGGATGAGAGGATAATGCAGCCTCTGGCCAGAAATTTGGTGTGGCTATCCCAGGCCATGCCAGTGTCTCAGCTGTGGAATTGATTGAAGGGAAGGAGGCATTTGGGGCAAAAAGCTGGAGAGGGAAGAGGATGGCGAGGCCTATTTGTAGGACAGAATAAGAGGCTGTGTTAGCCCCTGGTGATTTGGATTGTTAAGATTTAGTCAGGGTGACATTGGAGGTCTGTGCTCAGGTCTGGGTTGATCCACCCAACTCATTCCTGAGTATCTTCACTGGATGCTAAAATCTTCCTCAGAACCCAAAAGCTGATGCCTGTGCACCTAAAATTAGTGTGGAAAAAGCACAATGCCTGTATTTTAAATACATCGAGTCGAGAACCATCACAGGAGTGGTGAGAACGTCTCCTCCCGGCCCTGGATGCTGCTGTGATATTTTGGGAACTGCCCTGAGGCAGAGACCAGCAGCTCACACACCTCTCAGGCTAAAAATTGTGCCCAGACCTCTCAATAAATGTACAAATCGTTACCATTGGCTTCTGAATGGATTAGCACCCAGATGGTTCAGAATTATATTTGTCCTGAATACATCTTTTCTACATCTCATGAATAAATCTGTGAATCAGATGCAGTGTTTGCATCCTCGAGAACAAAGTGTGTCCTAGAGCCATTCCAAGAGTTGCTTCTTAGATTTTGGGGATGAGGAACAGTCTTCCTGTGTTTCCACTGACAGAAAATGCAGTCATCTAGTGCAAAATTGATGAAGAGCTTCATTTAAAAGCTGAGTTTTGTTCAGAACTGAAGGTAAAGAAAGGCATCCAGATTCCAGCCGTGCTGGTTTGTTTATTGGTCTCAGCTGGATCTAAAAGGAATGGTTTAGAATAGTTTCTGGGTTCACAAGCCAGTCTCTAAAGCCCTCTTCATCGTGTTCCTAATTATTACAAATATTGGGTTGTCGTTCTCCTGGTTTGGTGATCTACAGGTGGCTTGGCAAAGCATTCTGCCTCCTAAATTCTGTGGAGAAGGGGGATAAAAGTGATGTGTATAAACTGGAAAGGGTGGAGGCTGGTATGTTAAACAGAATGAGTGGAAAACTTTGATTTTGATAGGTCCAAGGCGAGATTTGAATTTAGTTATGCAGTTTTAGCTGTCTAACTTGTATAACTTGAGATCAGACCAGATTTCAAGCCCGTGATTTGTGTGCTGCTGCACATCTTTGTGGCTGTAGGAGCATTTTGGCAAATTGAAACTCTTTTTTTGGGGGGCTTTTCCTCTGCTCTTGCTTGGAACAGGGCAAGCCTGATTTGAACACAGCCCTGCCTGTGAGACAAACAGCCTCCATCTTCAAACAGCCCGTCACAAAGATCACAAACCACCCCAGCAACAAGGTGAAGAGTGACCCCCAGAAAGCTGTGGACCAGCCCAGGCAGGTAAGACTTGCAGCTTCTTCTCCAGAAAACCGAGAAACCCCCAGCTTTGCCACTGGAAGGATCCCAAAATAAACCACTTTAATTTTGTGGGGCCGGGCAAACACTCCCTGGCGATTTCTGATCTCTGGGATTTCAGAACTCGGGGAGAAACCTGGTCTTTCAGAAGCATTGCCCTGGAGTGCTCCCAGCTTTTAAAATCAGAGCCAACCCCATTCCCAGCCTGTAGTTACAGGCTGTGTGCACTGGGATTTATAACTGAACTCCAGCCTTTGGTCACATCACAATTCTGCAGGGGTTAAACCTTAATTTCCTTGATGCCACAAATTTAGTCAGGTGTTGCAATCACTTCCAGGGGTCATTTAGGATTAAAATCGCTGTCAAATGTTCCAGTTGTGTAAGAATTCCGTGTTTGAAATCCACGTTCAGGCCACCTCCAGTGTGGTGTTTGGTGCAGTGCAAGGGATTGGGTATCAGTAGTAGTTAACTCTGCCAGCGTGAGATCATAAATTCACTTAGAATGCCATTATTAATATGAAATCAAAGGGGTTTTTTTATCAAACTGTGTATTTTCAAATGAGAGAATACACCAAAATTAAGGTAAACCTTTCAGCTTAAATTTCACCAGGTGAAAGGATGCAAAAAGTGTGCTTAGGACAAGTAAAGGCCCAGGCAAAATGAGCTGTACCTGGTGGAAGCAATTACCAGTACAGTTTAACTTCTTGCATTTCAAGGGGAGTTAAAATCTTTTTTTCCAAGAGGGGAAGTGATTTCAATACAATTTTTAAAAATTCCCTTTCTAAGCTGCCACTTCTCCCACTGAAAACTTTTCCTGCAAACTTCAAGACTGCATTTTGAGGGCAGTTCACACGAACCTAGTCCAGCTAGAACCTTCAGGTGTGAGATAGAGCCTGCCTGAAATGGAGTTGAGTGCTCTGTTTTGATGGTTGGGGGTGGGGTTTTTTGTGTTTTTTGAAGAGATTGGCAGAGTTTTACCGTGGCTTCCTAAGGAAGTAGAACCTGTGAGTTCACAGTGTTGTAGTTTTGATAGTTCAGACAGTAAAAGAGCACCAAAGATATGACGCTGATCTCCAGATTCTGAGCTGGGCAGAGAGTTGTGTCCCTGTTCAAAATACTCTCTCAGACAGCAGAACAGTTGAACTTCTGCTCACAAACTCCAGAAGTTTCTGCAAAATTGGAAAGCAGTGCTGAGGCACTGGCTTCAAAATCACAGAATCCCAGAAAGGAAAAGGGGTTGGGGGTGGGGGGGATTTGCTTGGGCTGTTTGGGGTGAAGTCTTGATTTCTCAAAACTCGGATAAAATTGGTTTTTTTGAAACATAATTGACCGTCCAGGTGTTCATGGATCATCCCGGTGAACCCTGGGGGTGGGTTGAGGGTGTGCCAGGTGGTGTAGGTGACTGTCCACCAGACAGATGCTCCCAGGGAGAACCTGTGACTCAAAATGTGGTGAAGGACCAGACATGGTTTGTCCTCATGAGAATCTGCTGGAGAGGAAGAAAATAATACTTCACCTTGGACACCACAGTCCCTGCATTTCTTAACTTCCTGAGGGTTACCTGAGACAGCAGGAGAGGAACAGAGTGTAAAAAAGGCTGTCTCACACTATGGGCTTGTAGATGAAAGCCAGCAAGCCTGGCCTTGCTTCTCCAGCTGAGAGCAGTGAAAATACCAGGCCCTGGAAGAAAAGGAAATCTCTTTCAAGGCAGCAGGTTGGGACAGGGGAGTTGTGGGGCTGATTGACAGTGAAGGTTGTCCCTGCTGGCAGGTCCCTTCTGTGGTAAATCCACGTTAAATTGTCCACAGCAGAGCCCTTCCCTGCCTGGGCAGGAAGCAGGTGCTTTGTGGAGCTGACAGTTCCAAATCCGTTTGTGCCAAGAACCCCTTTCTTTGATTCCAGCTCTTCTGGGAGAAGAAATTAAGTGGACTGAATGCCTTTGACATCGCAGAGGAGCTGGTGAAAACAATGGACCTTCCCAAAGGTCTGCAAGGTAATCAGAGCCTGCCCTTCACTCAGGGGAGGCGTTTTGGTGCCTGTCAGCAGTGAGCTGTGTGTGCCTGGCAGTGCCAGGGTCACCTCTGCTGCTGCAGGAACTGTCAGTGCTCTCTGAGGGTCTCGGTGCCCCTTGGCCTGAGGAAGCACCGAATGAAGCAAAACCGCTGGACATTTTTGGGGTCCATTTTCCAGGAGCAGCACAGAGTCAGACTGGCTTGGGTTGGAAGGCCCTCAAAGCCCATCCAGTGCCACCCCCTGCCGTGGGCAGGGACACCTTCCACCAGCCCAGGGTGCTCCAAGCTCTATCCAACCTGGCCTTGGGACACTCCCAGGGATCCAGGGGCAGCCACAGCTGCTCTGGGAATTCCATCCCAGTTCCTCCCCACCCTCACAGCCAACAGTTCCTTCCCAATATCCCAACTATCTCAGCCAGTTCTCTGGCACTGGGAAGCCATTCCCTGTGTCCTGTCCCTCCATCCCTTGTCCCCAGTCCCTCTCCAGCTCTCCTGGAGCCCCTTTAGGCCCTGCCAGGGGCTCTCAGGTCTCCCTGGAGCCTTCTCTTCTCCAGGGGAACCCCCCCCAGCTCTCTCAAGTTTCCATTCAAACACCTTTCATTCCCAGTCTGGCTTTTCTTTGTCATTGCTGTTTTTGGGTACCAGAATGAGGAACTGCCCTCAGTTTGAACACCCTTGCAGAGCTGCCCAGGCAATGTTAGAGTATTCAGGCCTGGCCTTTATGCCGTGTTAGCTTCCAAAAAAACCCCATCTTGAGTTTAGCCCTTCCAGTTCCCCTCCTGCTGTCCTGATCTGCTGCTCCCTGCCCTGTGCCCTGCTGGTTATGGCTTCTCCTTCCCCCTGCAGGGGTGGGCCCGGGGTGCACGGACGAGACGCTGCTGTCTGCCATCGCCAGCGCCCTGCACACCAGCACCATGCCCATCACAGGCCAGCTCTCTGCAGCCGTGGAGAAGAACCCCGGGGTTTGGCTCAACACCTCGCAGCCTCTCTGCAAAGCCTTCATGGTGACAGATGAAGATATCAGGTATGGGCCAGAAACGCCGCTCGCTGCCGTGGAACAAAGTCCCCCGTGGTAAAGCAGTGCCTTTTCTGTCGGTGTCTGCTGGAGGACTGTGACTTGGGAATTAGTTTAGATGGCTCCTCAGCAGCAGAGTGGACAAAAATTGTCACACAAATCTGCTCCAGCGTGCTCAGAGCCCGTTGTTCTTTATTTTGGCTGTGCTCAGTTACTCTGAAGTTTCGGGTTTTCGTGTCAAAGTGTCCTTTTGTTGACAAAGGTGTCTGAATTGGGGTAACCCTGATTAGGCACCTCAGAGCAGAGATGGGATTGGAGAAATCCTGAACAGCGTGATTGGATTTTCCTCACCTTCCTCTGTGTCAGTAAATAAATAAAACAAAATAAATAAAATTTTATGTGTTGACCAGATCAAAGTCCTGCCTGCTGTGGTGGCAGGGAACAAGGTGCAGTTTATTTAGCTATAGGTTGCTTTAGTAATGAATTATATTGCTAAATCAGGACTGCTCAAACTCAGCTTTAAGCACTGAAAATACCAAACAGTAACCTCCAGGTGTGCTATTCACTAAATGTTTAAAGATAGATAGTCCTGCTTGAGAAATCTTTTGGAATTACAGGATGACTTTTTTGTGCTTGATTTGTACCAGAATGACCAGGGGAAACAGTCTGCTTATAACTTTGATTTCCCGTGGCTGAGCTGAAATAGGAGACCTATGAGCCACTGATTAATGACATCTTCTTTACTGGGACTTTGACAGCAAAGGAGCCATAAAATTTAAGGTTTGGGCTCAAAAGGGGAACGAGCAAAAAGAAATTACCAGAAACTTCGTTTTTCTCCAGTACGATTTCTGGAAATCTGGGTGGGGTAGGCTGAGTTTTTCTTGTTTAATGTTAGCAGTAGGAGTTAACAGGAACAAAATCCTTCAGTCAGCTGCTGGATTGGTCAAATTCCAACCAGAATTCAACAGGGTACAGGGCTTGTAGTAGAAAACATTGGACAAGTTTTTAAAGTGTTTTTCATCTTCACATCACTATAATGCCAAGGGGTTTTTTTTCAGTGCAGTTATCAGAGGGCTTTTCCCATCCAGGTTTGTCTGTCCAGCCTCGTGTGGGAGGGATCTGGGGTTCCTTTTCCCTGGAGGGGGCAGCTCTTGGGGTTGATGCTGGGTGTCCCTTGCTCCGGGCAGGAAGCAGGAGGAGCTGGTGCAGCAGGTGAGGAAGAGGCTGGAGGAGGCCCTCATGGCTGACATGCTGGCCCACGTGGAAGAGATCGCCAGGGATGGGGAACCCCCCTCGGAGAAGGAAGGAGGGGAGGAGGAAGGAGAAGAGGAAGAAGAGGAGGAGGAGCAGGACCATGACCAGGAGATGGAGAATGTATAGTCCAGGTAATGTGCCAGCGTTCCTTCTCACCTTGAGCTGGACTCCACTGGAGGCAGGAAGGTTTTCAGGAGGAATCTTTACCAGATCTGTGGTTTTCAGCATGTGCTTTGAAAGGGGTGCTGGTTGTGTGTCAGGTGAGACCCCACCTGCAGAGCTGCCACCAGCCCTGGGGAACAGCAGCAGGAGGACGTGGGGGTGCTTTTGGACAGTGAATACCTTGAATTCTTTTCTGCTGCAAAGGTCTGGCAACAGGCAAGAACCAGAACAAACTGTCTGCCGCAGGTGAAACCCAGGAGATAAAGACATGGATATGTTATGGCAGTGGGAATTCTTCTTTTCAGAACTCGCTTGCCTATAAAGATGTAAAAAGTTCTTACTGACTTAACGAGGTCCTTTTCTCTCTTCCAGGGAGCTCCATCTAAGAATTCCCAGTATAAACCCAATCAGCAGGGTCAGCACCACCATTTGCAGAGCCAAGAGTGCACCACCAGTCCAGCTGTACCCCGGAGCATTTGGATGTACTTCGGGAAACACGGGAGCTGATGGTTCATTCACTGCTGGGGAGTTCTGCAGGTGGAACTCAGCTTAACTCTACTCCCCCTCCTTTTCCTAAAGGAGTGGGGTGATTGGGAATGCAAAAGTGGGAGGGGATAAAGGAATATCACGTGGTGGGAGGGGAAATACTAGGAACCAAATTTGCTATCTCTTTTTTTTTTGTTTTGTTTTGTTATTTTTCGTGGGTCAGTGCGAGGTGATACATTTTTAAGCTTTTTTATCAAAATACCTTTAATGACCCATAGAAACAATTTTCTCTCTAACCCAGGAGAGAGAGAGAGAGAGAGAGAGAGATGCTGTTTCACTCCTTGGCTCCTCTGCTGTGCTGTTTGCACCTGGCTGTAGGGAGGTCATTTCGTGTCGTGGGTTGTCATTCCATCTGTGAATTCCTGTCGCTGAATTGCCATTTCCTCACAAGACCACATTGGTCTTGGAAATGTAGTCTCAGAGCTGAACTGCCAGTGCCTGTCCCACCTGGGGTTTGGGGAGCAGGGGAGGTTACACTCGAGGAATTGGGCTGCCAGCTCTGGTCATTGGGGTTTGGGGTTAGTTCCACACCACACTGAGAGCACTCCCGAGCACGGCTTGGACTCTGTGTGTCCAAACACTCTGAACAGAGTTTTGGAGAGAAATATACCCGACCTGAGGTGTATTCTGGTTTGGTTCAAGTCCAGTCAGAAGGACTTTCTCAACTGGGGATGGAAGGGTGTCTCATTTCTGACTTGACAATGAGGAAAACTTCCTCCTTTTTCTCTTCTGGTGCCAAGAACCTGCCCTCTGTTCCTCTGTGTGGAGGGAAGGGGATCCATTCCAATGGGTGTGGCCACACACCTGCTTTCGTGTGCAGTAATGTTCTGACCTCTTTTGAAAAAAAAAAAAAGAAAAAAAAAAAAAAAGAAAGGAAAAAGGTTGATTTTTCTATAATTGATATCTAAAAAGGAATTTAAAGCTTTTTATTAAGTATTAAATCTTTTCTTATTTGCATGTGCAGTGAAGTGACCAGCATTTTGTGTCGAAAATTGAACTGATGTGAAACCTGCCTTAATGTGTTTATAAGTATTTGGCTTCACCATGGGTACCTTGATTGATTCCTCAGTCTCTTCCAGTACTCCTGTGAGCATATTGGGTCAACCTGTGGCTAAAAAGGGGTTTCTCTGGGGAGGGAGACGATGGGAGGGGGAGGAAGATGAGAGTTTATAACTTGGAGGATGCGTTGACTAGGTTCAAAAGTTATTTTAGTCTTAGGGTATCCGTTGCACAACCTGTGCTGAGAGAACACCAGAAAGTGGTGGGTTAAATATTGTGCCACTGACCAGTTGTACAGGTTGCTGGTATCCCAAAACTTGGGGGAGAAAGTAGCTGCCAGAGCCTTTGTGGTGTGAGGATGATCAGCAGGGACAGCAGGGGACCAGGGAATGGCCCCTGGGAGTCGTTCAGCTTCGTGACCCCTGAGAGACATCCCGTGCCAAAGTGATTGATTCACCCTGTTCTGAGGGGTCTGAAAAGGCAAAATCCTGTGATTGTTGCTCACTTGAGCACTGCAGAGAGACTGAACTGTACTTTGCTGCTGCTCTGCCAGGTGTTGCTCTGGGGAGCAGTGCCTGGCACTGCAGGCAGTGACCATTGTTTTCCTTTCTGAACAGTCTGTTACGGTTATTACTCTGTAAATCTGTCCTCTTGTAAGTCATGGTGTTGAATTAAATGTTTCTCACAAAGAAGAGGTTCCTCTGGTCTGCCTCAAGCCCTCACCTGCAGTTTTGTGCTCTGCCCCTCCCAGTTAGCCCAGCAGAGGTACTGGGGGTGGGGGAGTTGCTGGGGGCTCCACTCTGATATTTGGATCTTGATCTTTGGGGGAAATACAGAGGGGAACTTGGGGAACGCTGATAATTCTTGCTGCAGATTCCTCTCCTGTGTCCTCATGGAGTGAGGGACTGCCTGGGTGTCCCATCTCATGGGCAGATTGGCTATAGAGAATCATGGAATCAGTGGGAAAAGGCTGGAAAAGACCTTGGAGATCATCAAGAACAACCATCCACTCAGCACCACGGTCACCACTGAGCCATGTGCCCCAGTGCCACATCCACACGTTGTTTGAACACTTCCAGGGATGGGGACTCCACCCCTGCCCTGGGCAGCTGTGCCAGGGCTTGACACCCTTTTCTGTGGAAAAACCCTTCCTGATCTCCAATCTAAACCTGCCCTGGCTCCACCAGAGGCCATTTCCATGTGTCCTTTGAATCCCAACCCCAGCAGTTTATAGCCCACACCAGAGGTGTCCTTGTGACCACAGCAGTCCCATTCTGACCCTGCTTCTTTCTCAAAGCTTCTTTAATATCTAGTGATGCCTTTATTTACTTTTCCTTGGATGTAAACATAACCATAAGCGTCTGTAGAACCATGACATAGAGGATTGAGATGTTGATACTCCTATTTTGACTCACTGAATATCAACTTTAAATTGCTGCCACCCCTCGTTTTCCCCACTGTGCTTTCCCTGTCCGGCTTTCTCTTTCCTTCAGAGATTTAGAAAGATTATTCCTGTTTCTATTCATTTGGAGTTGACTGTGCAAAGTGCCAAAAGGGGCCCAAGACTCCTCTCACAGCCAAAGAAACTGCAATAACTTCACCTGCTTATCGAGACAGGTAAGTAAACCAAATATTTCTGCTCACTGACCATGATGTCTTTCTCATGTTGCTGCAATAACTGCATTAGTTTGTTTTATCGCAGCCTTGGAAGTGAATAATGGGGATAAAGTGTCTGCCACCATCAAATGTATCCCCAGGGTGGAGAGAGCAGCTTTTTGAGGTATGACTTGTAAAGCAGAGGATTAATAAAGAATATATTTAAGGGCAATGGAACAGAATTGGGGCAAAATTTATATTTCATTGATTAATAACCTGTTCTGCACAGTGTGTTGGAGCTGGTCCAGTAAGGTGGCTCCAGTTTTTTTCCTCCCCACTTTGTTTTCCCAAACTTAGAGGTTTTAGGAGAATGCCATTACCTCCCTCTGTGGATTCCCAGTGTTAAATTTATTGAATCCTGGTTGGACAGAATTTTGTGCAGTCTGAAGGATGAATTAGCATGGATGTGGGACAGTCTGGATTTGACCTGCAGAGCTTTTGGAGGTGGTTTTGCCCAGGAGAAGTTGGCTCGACTCACATCTGAAGCTGAACTTGCTGAACTGGCTGTTGAGCAAGGAAAGGGAGGGGTTTTCTTGCTTGTAAACTGAGCACATCAGGAAGGGAAAACACTCAGGGATGACATGGCTGGACTCTGGGAATGCAGGCATGTTAAACCCTGCCTGGGGTGGCTTTGTCATGGCTGTGAGTGAGAGTCATCCAACAGTTTGGGCTGGGGGGGACCTCAAAGCTCATCCAGCCCCACCCTCTGCCAGGGGCAGGGACACCCTCCACTAGAGCAGGTTGATCCAACCTGGCCTTGGACACTTCCAGGAATCCAGGGGCAGCCACAGCTGCTCTGGGCAACCTGTGCCAGGGCCTGCCCACCCTCACAGCCAGGAATTCCTTCCCTATATCCCATCTAAATACTCTGCAGGATGTGGACGAAGCAGGACACCTGGAAGGAAAACTTGTCTTTCAGCACTCCTGAGTCATGTGTCCTTTAGGGAGAGACCATTCTGTCTGCACTGACACTCCTGGCCCTGGGAAAGAGGGTGGGATAACGTGTTCAAAGGGGGAGGGAGGCAGGAGAATGTTCTTATGGCCATAATCCCAAATAACTAGGATTATCTAAGTGGAGAGGTAATCCTGAAAAACTTACTTTCCTTCATTAAACAAACAACCTCCAAGAGTCCAGGTGCCCATGCAAATATTTGGATGATACCACTTACTCCCTATCAAACAAAATGCATATTCTTAGCTGTTGTCACTCTGAACAGGAATTTCTGCATCCACTGGGGCTGCTTCAGAACAGACTTTGGGGTCGGTCGAGGTTCCCAGTGCTGCATATTTTAGCTCCCTGCATTAATGAAGCACAGAGAGCCACGAGAAGGTGGTGTCCTAATTCTGCAGCACAGAAAAATAATGTCCTGTATGGGCTGTGGGGAGCTGAAAACTTGGATTTGTTCTCAGATTAGCAGGGATCAACTTGAGCTAATGAGGGAAAACCATTCCCACCTCCCCCACCCCCCCAGTCTGACCCTGTGAGAAGCTGAGTGTAGGAGAGAACAGCACAGAACAGCATGTGCTAAATGGTATTTACAGTGACAGAGCATTTGGGAGGGTGAGGAGAGAAAAAAACGTGTTGAACTTCAAAATGACCCACCAAATGCACTAGAAATTGTCAGGGCATTGGTTAGAAGTCTGAGTTAGTA